CTTTATAGACTGGCTGAATCGAATCCTCAAAGTGCCCGATATCACAGTGGACAACTTCATGGACCGCCTCGACAATGGAGTCATCGTCTGCAAGCTCGCCAAACTGATTGAAATGGAGTGCAATCTGGTGCTGCCCAATGGCTCACTGGCTGCAGCAGGGGCTGCCAAGACGGGCACTGCCGCCGCCCTCAATGGATCTCAAACGCCGCCTCGAACTGAGTCGCACACGACCACGCCGACGTGGAGTACACCGGGAAAATCAATACAGGTACGAGGAATGGGAAATGAGTGTTTGAAAGCCTTTTATGCTGTCCATCAAACACTTACTATTTTAAAGACACAAAGTCTCTTTGCTATACTCTACCGCAACTGTTCAACAAGGGCAATTTGCTGTCCGGTGTTTTTTCTTTTTTTAGTATTCTCTTCCTTTTAAATTGGGGGTCACATTTTCAACGAAGCGTTACATCGTTTTCCTTTGACATTAACTGTTTTCCCCGGAACTGAAGGCTTTAGCAAAATAGTCGAAAGCTTTGAAAGCCGAAATACTAAATAACCGGGTGGCAAATTCATTACTCTGATGCGAGCCAGCGTCGTAAAAGTTGTCAGCTAAATTAGTTGACTGCATTCTACCATTTTGTCTATATTTAAATTGTCGTGACCATTTACTTTGAAGATAGACACTGGCAATCTTGACTACCGAAACCCTTTTGTTTGACTAAAGGTCAAATGTGGCAAAGGCAGAGTCAATTGATCGCTCAGCCATTTGAACACTGCTAGCATTTTTCTTCAGTTGCTGGGTACATTGTGGCAGGCACCCAATTTAGACAGTCGTCACTGTGCTTTCCCGTTTGCATTCCTTACTGAACGGTAGAGTGATTGATTTATCAATTGATTTGATAGTCCAGCTCTAAAGAATGCACATGATTGAGTAGACAGGCAGTGTGTGAGTGTGTTTACAGTTATATTAACGAGAGAAAATGAATACACTCCATCAGACACAGGCACTTTATTCAATTGTAGATGCGCCAGTGTTGCACTGCTGCAGTGGCAAAGTGCTGGACTAACAGGAATAACAATCAATGAAAATAAACACTTTTGTGTTAAAGCCACGCAGAAAAAAGGTTTGAACAAATTGATGTCTGCAAGTGATGATAAAATTACAATTTCTGAGCATTTTGAGTCATTGAAACGGACATTGTTAGTGTTCATCTTTTCACTGAAGCAGAAAGTTAATTTGACATTAGCATTTGCGTGCCTTGCTTGCAAACCGTCTTCCGAAAACATTTCCATTTTGGCCAATTTGCGTGCACTTCTCGCAAGACAATTGTTTCAGTTCCTGAAATGGAAATTAGATAATTGTGTCGGCTTTTTGTTTTTGTGTATTTTAACTTTTCAGCTTCATAATTCACTACACACACTTTAGTATGCGCTCTTAATGTTTGCCTGTACTCGAATTCCTCCTCTTCGACGAATCTTCACTTATTAGCATTGCCTCTCTTGTCAACAGCTACGGGGTTGATCAACTGCCACAAGAAAACTTGATTTTAGTGGCTTTCCAAAGTGTCCCCCAAAAGCTGCCAAATCTTTCCTTTAGACTGGATTGTCATGTTCGATGGACGGCGCACATTGTCGTCATTTAGGCACTCGTATATGCTCTTCCTCTCTCTCTCACTCTGTGCCTTATGTAGTCTTTTGCCTGTTTGGTTTTAGCTATCTGCTTGACTGGCCATGCGACCGATTTAGAGCAGTCAGCGGCATCGAGCACCTTTGCACCTGAGCAAACTAAGTGTGTGTGTGTGTGTGCGACTCATCTTGCTCTTGCTCAAAGAGTGCAGACAGAAAAATGGTTTTTACCTCATTTGCCGCCATTGAGGCGAACATGCTGCATGTTACCGGTGGGACGGAGGACACACAGCTTGTTTGTCTTCCTCAAATCAGGCAGTTGCAGGAGGNTTTTAGCTATCTGCTTGACTGGCCATGCGACCGATTTAGAGCAGTCAGCGGCATCGAGCACCTTTGCACCTGAGCAAACTAAGTGTGTGTGTGTGTGTGTGCGACTCATCTTGCTCTTGCTCAAAGAGTGCAGACAGAAAAATGGTTTTTACCTCATTTGCCGCCATTGAGGCGAACATGCTGCATGTTACCGGTGGGACGGAGGACACACAGCTTGTTTGTCTTCCTCAAATCAGGCAGTTGCAGGAGGGGCTACGAAAATTGCCTTGATGAGCAAAGTCAACGATGGACTGCGCAAAACGGTGCTAATGTGGTGAATTTAGGTGGTTTCTGTTCGATAAAGTAGCCCTCATCATCTACTGGGAGCATGACTGCTTTCTGCTTATTTGCCAACATGACGTACGTTAAGAGTAGTTTTCAGGTAAAAAATTTTACCACTTTAGCACTTTGACCACTGCGTGCTGTTATGCTGTTAGACTGTTTGCCATAAAGAAAAGTTAGAGTACTTTAGGTAGATCACTGTGACATTTTGCCTAATGAATACCCAGTGCTAATAATCAACTCGTTGTTTCAACTTTTTTATCAGGAAATTCCCAAGCACTTCTACGTCAGTGCGTCCCATCGTGGCAATCGAATCAGCTCAGTGGACAGTGCCAGTGGGTCACCCTTTGCCGCCGGTGGCTCAGTGCCCTTTACCGCCGCCACAATGAAGTGCTGGGAGAACGCCAAATCGCGCACCTTCTTTGCCCGTGATAATGTCTCCAACTTTCTCAACTGGTGCCGACTGTTGGGCGTCCACGATGCTGTCCTTTTTGAAACGTAAGTTTGATGCTCAATGTGACAAACTTGCTATAAATATAACCCCTTTTCTTATCACGTCTTCTGCAGTGAAGATCTCGTCTCTCATGTAAACCAGCGCCATGTGGTGCTCTGTCTACTGGAGGTGGCTCGCATCGCCTGTACGCGACACTCCTTCAGCCCAGCACCCGGTTTGGTTGAGTTTGAGCAGGAAATTGATCGAGAGATTGAACGAGAGCTTAAGCGGGAAGAGGAGAAGCAGAAGATGAAAGAGCTGAAGGCCAATAAAACGACTGCTGCTGAGGTGCTGCACCCCAAGAAACCAGCACACTTGAAGTCGAGTGATCTGCAGCAGGCGACACCAAAGGATGTCCTCCTTGCAGAGAGCCTCAGTGCAGGAAAGATCGATGAAGCGCTTCCGGAAGTGGACCAGGGTGTCCAGTTGGAGGACTTAGAGGAGGAAGACGAGGTGACCTTGCACAGTAGTCGGCCACTCAGCTCCAATGCCGACGAAATTGATCGCGGCTCTTCGCTGATGGACGAGGAGACTTCAGCCACTGAATCGGAGGAGCATCAGTGCAACAACACTGTCTCTTCGCCGGAAATTCGGTCCCCCTCTCCTGCCAACTCCATCATCTCCTCAGCCAGCTCGACGTACCTGGAGCCGAACATGGTGAGCTGCGGTGGCTCGAGCGTCAGCGATGCCGCTTCTCACTCCTCCACTCCGACGCCAATGACGTCTGAATTGGATCACAAGGTAACGCGCGCGCGCGTTTGTCAGTGGCCGGTGATCTAGTGGCCAATTAGCCGATTATGCTAATGAAGGCCCTTTCTCGCTACCACAACCGCAAATCTATTTTCTCACGTTCTCACCGATTGCCCCTTTTCTTTTACTTCTAGGTGATGCTAATTGCCAAAACTTACTACGGCAAGGAGGCCAGACAAGGTGTTCAGCGGCTGTCTGAAGGTGAGTGACGTAGTGACTGACAATAAAAATGAGAAAGAGAGAGAGAGGGCAAAGTCAAGTTAATGGCGACTTTGCATGAGACACAGTCTGCGTAGGATAGAATTACTGATTATCCTAGGACACATGGTAAACAGAATTAAGTCGACGTTTATATGTTCAACATTTAAAACCATTAAGATGGTTGATAAAAATTGCTTACTACTTTTAATTAAACTTGCCTTAATTTAGATTCCTGACTTTAGTCTCAGCATTGGTTATAACATAGTAGCGGTAATTAAATGGTTTAGTTTCTAGCGCTTTTATAAAACGGTCTCCTGTGAACTTGTTCTCAGCTCAGCAGATGTTGAAGTGTGTTGATAAATTGTTTTCCGTAATGATGCTGTCATAAGAAGGCTGTGCTTATTAATTTAGTTTTGGTAGAGTTATTTGACTGATTTCTAACTTTAGCATCGACATTCTGTGACACTTAGTGTCGCAAGTTATGAGGTGTAATTTGAGTGATATAGGTAATTGGGCAAGCAGGGATGTAGGCAGTCTCAGGGCGAAGAGAGTCGCTATGCTTTCCCAGGTGAGACACACACTGCCTGGCCACTTAGAATGACAATCACAAGCGATGACAAGCAAGTANATGTTGAAGTGTGTTGATAAATTGTTTTCCGTAATGATGCTGTCATAAGAAGGCTGTGCTTATTAATTTAGTTTTGGTAGAGTTATTTGACTGATTTCTAACTTTAGCATCGACATTCTGCGACACTTAGTGTCGCAAGTTATGAGGTGTAATTTGAGTGATATAGGTAATTGGGCAAGCAGGGATGTAGGCAGTCTCAGGGCGAAGAGAGTCGCTTTGCTTTCCCAGGTGAGACACACACTGCCTGGCCACTTAGAATGACAATCACAAGCGATGACAAGCAAGCACAAGTTTCACAGTGTTCACTTCCATAAATAACGGCCTGTCTGTGTGTTTGTGTGTAAGCATTGAAGAGGGATGACAATTAGTCTTGACAGATATTGAGACTGTGACGATAAGGTCGACTGAGAACCACTGAAAACCCACATCAGCGCACCATTGTCTGCTGTGAGAGAGTTCCTTCAGTCAGCTACAATTGTCTAGTTGACATTTGAATTTATAATTTAGCTGGGACGTGCTGCAACCGGAGATGAGCTTTGGGAAAATTTTATTTTAAATCACGATGCTTTATTTCAAGCATTTAGGTTATGTGCCCTGTGCTGATAAGCTGAAGATTTCTTTTTCCATGTTAAAATAAACTGTCTGATTTAAACACACAAATTAATTTTTTCTTTTTCATCATCTTTTCAGGAAAGTACAAAATTGCCAACCGAATCGTGTTTGTTCGTGTAAGTAGTAGTAGTTTTGAAATTTTGAAATTTTACTTCAAAACACATATTAATAATATCATGACGTACACACATTNGCTTTATTTCAAGCATTTAGGTTATGTGCCCTGTGCTGATAAGCTGAAGAGTTTTTTTGTCATGTTAAAATAAACTGTCTGCTTTAAACACACAAATTAATTNTGGGACGTGCTGCAACCGGAGATGAGCTTTGGGAAAATTTTATTTTAAATCACGATGCTTTATTTCAAGCATTTAGGTTATGTGCCCTGTGCTGATAAGCTGAAGATTTCTTTTTCCATGTTAAAATAAACTGTCTGATTTAAACACACAAATTAATTTTTTCTCTTTCATCATCTTTTCAGGAAAGTACAAAATTGCCAACCGAATCGTGTTTGTTCGTGTAAGTAGTAGTAGTTTTGAAATTTCAAAATTTTACTTCAAAACATATTAATAATATCATGACGTACACACACATTACAGCTCCTCAAAGCTCGCCACGTGATGGTTCGAGTGGGCGGCGGGTGGACCACACTGAGCGACTTTCTCATTCGCCATGGCGGCGATCCGGACCACCAGATACTGCCCGATGAGCTGCTGCCGCTGGACACCAAACCGAGCAGCTCCCATCCCCGCCGGCGCAGCAGCAGCACACACACTCTAGTCATTCCGGGGAACGTGCTGGGAGCCTCGTCCGCCTCGTCGCACTACCACTCGAAAACGCCCACACCCACCCCAGACCTGACTGCCCTTCACAACTCACGCGGCTCGGTGACGCCGACCACTGCCTCCTACCACCCTTCCAGTCGCTACATCAACTCCACCCCGGTCAGTCGGCGAAGCAGCATCTCCAGTCCCGAGCCGTCCATTGGCTCCTCCACCAGTGGCTACTCCTCCAGCGGCAACTCATCCTTCGCAAAGAATGCCCAGGGGCACACTCCGAATGCGGACACGAAGATTCCCGTCCTCCGTCGTCGTCAACGGCTGCCGTCGCTGCAGCTCAACCACGATCCATTTCGATACCGCTCCAACAGTAGCCTCAGCATCTCCTCGCTGCCTCGCTCAACGAGCACCATTCTCAGCGGCCCTGGCTCGGGAGAGCTCTCCTACAGCAACAGCTCAATTCCTCGCAGCAACACCACGCTCAGTGGAAGGTACATCAACTACCTGCAAAGTTCGCAGCACATCACCCGACGACAGTCCTCCAACTCGAACATACCTCTCAATGTCACCGCCAGTGGCTCGACAACACCGGTGAATGGAACGAACGGCAGTGCCACTTCCCCTTCCCTTACGACGCCCCCCAAACAGGCGGCCTTTTCTGCAGTGAGAAAGACAGCACAGAAGACATTCTAATTTCCCCTAACTGTTTGCTTGTTTTTTGCCCCAGCTTTATTTCGAATTCCGCGTTTTTTGAGCTAACAATCTAACCATTTGTATTCCCGCACCACTATTGAGTTTGCATAATTGTAAATCTGATCCGATTGAAGGCATTTTCTAGTCTATTTATCGACACTCGTTGACCACAAGTAACATTACTACCAGTCTGCCATTACTACCTTCATAAGCATCTATTACCCCTCTCGTTACCATTTGCTAATCTAATTTAAGAAACCTACATTTACATTTTTGAATTAATGACATTACGACATTTTGTACACACTTCTGTCATCATAAACCTGTTAATCTGACTTTGTTTCTGTTTCTGTTTTCCATTTACACTATCTATTTAGCAAGTTCAGAGCACGATGATCCATTAACACACTTTTTTTCACTATCATTTGTTGGGATTCGCATAATTTTTACAGTCATTTGATTCATAATAAACGGTTTTACAATGTTTTGAAAACAAGTGATTAAGATTATGATTTTTTATTGTAAAATTTATCGAGAATTTGTATAGTTTTATCGTAAACCAGTTTTCCAGCATTCTCTCCTACCATAAAGTCAAAATGGTTAAATTTCTCACTGGGCACTTTGTAGTCGTTCACTTTGAGTCCAATTGATCGAAGCTTTTTGATGAATTTTGTAGCATCACTATTAGTAACTAACGCATCAGTGTTGCCGTGAATAGTATAAATTTTAGTTTTTTTGGGGATATTTTCAAGTGGATACAAAGGTGCTTCTTTCTTATTGTAAGCTTTTAAATTTTGTTCTTCATCATGATAATCAAATCTATAGAAATTTTTTCTTTCATAAAGTTGTGCAAAATGCGAAAGGTCTGTATTTGAGATTGGCGATGGAAAGAAATTAAGATATACTTCAAGTCGAGAAAGATTCATTTTGTCTGATTCTCCAAAAAACGATAAAAGCGCTTCTGCACACAGCGTTTCAGAGAGACCGCAAGTAGGGCTTATGATTGACCTGACACGTATGTCAGAAAAAGAAAACTTTCCTTTTTCTTTCTGCAAAATGGGATATAAAGGAACCAAAAGTCGGGCAGAAGAAGTCATGTTTCCAATGATGGCAGGTGGAGCCCAAGAGATGAAAGGTTTAATAATTGAGGCATATTTTGGCAAAAGTGAAAATAGAATAAAGAAAATATTAGATCCTTGTGAGTAGCCAATTGCGGCAATTTTCTTGTAGCCAGTCACATTTTGTATCGTCTCTATTACAGCTGGTGTATCATAAATGGCCATCTGCTCAAACGTAAAGTTCCAGTACTGGCTGTCTTCTTTTTCCGAAAGCCACTGATGGTCAGTGCCAACACTGCCTCGGGAGTTGGGAAGGAAAACATCATAACGCCCAGTCAGCACTAAACAGAAGCCAAAGTTGTCTGAGCAGTGATTGTCACTGCCACGAATATCCGGCGAAGTAATGAAGAAATCACTTGAGGAGCCAAATAGACCGTGTTGCACTATGACTGGTTGACGCCTTTGAGAGTAGGTGCGCTCATTGTATTCTGGTGGGACGACACGATCCAGAGTTAGAATGTACCCGTCAGCTGTGGGCACAGTGTACGAAAGCAGTCGGAAGCCTCGTGAGACAATTAACTCGGCAAATGACCGAGATTTGTCAAGATCTTCAGTAGACAAACAGTGTCCGACAGTGCACAAAAATAGAAAAATTAATATTATTCTTTTCATTTTTTTCAAAACTTTAATGACTCTCAAATCTGAACTTTTTTTCATGTACTTGATGACATTTATCAGCTACTAAAACACGCACTGAATTTTAATCAACACCGGCTGGTAGCTGCCGTTACCTTCGCAACCTGTGAGGTGTGGCAAAAATTAAATGTTTACAATATTAATAGTTTAAAAGTACAGAAAGCATCTGTGGTTGGAGTTGGCAAAATTCATTAAACGTAAAGACGAATCAGTCCATTGCAAACGAGCTCCATTTCTTTGTGCTCCTTTTCAATGACTTCCTTGGTGGCAGAGCTGTTACTCTCCATCCACAAGTAAGTCTGTGCCACTTTCTCCTCGATAAACTGCCGATCTTCTCGAGGCAGTTTCTTCCGCAAGCTCGGTTCATCAATGGTGCACACGAGTTGAGAGCAGTAGTGTTCCAGTTTTTGCATTGCTTTAATTCGCTCCACTTCAAGTTGGTCTTCGGCAAAATACACTTCGGCTTCGTGCTTCATTTTAGTGATATCGGCTTCTGTGAGACGGCCACTTTCGCTTTTAACAGTCACTTCACTTTTGCTTCCCGTCTCAGCGTCCTCTGCTGACACTTGAAGAATACCATTGGCGTCAACTCGAAAGGTAATCAACACTCTGGCCACTCCTTTAGGTGCAGGTTTTATGCCGCTAATGACAAACTGGCTAAGGCAATGATTGTCCTTGGCCAATGGTCGCTCGCCTTCATAGATGGGAAATAGAATTCTCTCCTGTTTGTCATAGGAAGTGGTAAAATACTGCTGATTTTCAGTAGGAATGGTTGTGTTTGCTCTGATGAATTTAGACACCAAACCAGATGACTGTTCTATTCCTAGACTCAGAGGTAGGACGTCAAGAAGAAGTAGATCTTGAACAAGGTCAGTCGTGTCACCGCTTAAAATGGCCGCCTGGACAGCGGCGCCGTATGCGACTGCCTCGTCTGGATTGATTGATTTGTTCAGGTCTTTGCCGTCAAAAAACTCCTGCAATAGCCGCTGAATTTTAGGGATTCGAGTAGAGCCTCCGACGAGAATGATTTCATCAATTTCTGACTTGTCCAATTCAGCGTCTTCCAGTGCATTCTTAACTGGCTCCAGTGTGTTCCGAAACAGATCAATACACAAGTCCTCAAATTTGGCTCGTGTGATTGTAGCAGTGAAGTCAATACCGGCACACAGTGAATCGACTTCAACCGAAGCCTGCGATGAGGAGGAAAGACTTCGTTTTACTTGTTCACTGGCAGACTTTAGCTTTCGCAGTGCCCGTTTATCTTTGGAAATATCTTTTCCGTGCTTTTGCAAAAACTCGTTTACAAAGAAGTTTACCAGGCGATTGTCAAAGTCCTCCCCACCGAGCCGAGTGTCCCCACAGGTGGCCTTC